TCTGAACTTAAGTACAGAACCAGAGAAAAGGCAATGAAGGATGCCTACTGAATCTCCGACGTAAAGAGCTGAAACAGACTTTGCACAAACCATGGGAAAGACAAGACCTTTCCGACGTAAAGATATGAAACTGACTGCACAAACCATGGGAAAGACAAGACCTGGAAGTGTTCTCTTGCAACCTGTTGTAGGTGACCCTGCTCTAGCAGGGGGGGTGGACTAGATGATCTCCAGAGGTCCCTTCCAACTTTAACCATTCTGTGATTCTGTGATTCTTGATAAAAGGTGGGGTTTGATAAATAACCCTTTAAAGAGAGGTCCAGAGGATAAGTAAATTCAAAGTCAGACATTACAGCAAATTGAAAAGGATTTTGAAACAAACCCAGACACTTGCAACAGACTGTTTGTGAACACTGTACTAATAAATGAGAAGCAAGACAAAAGCTGATCTTCTATGATCTTTGATTCAGTGTCATTTACAGACACCCCACACCCCTCAAGAGTTTTGATAACATTTATTCATTCTCTCACACCAGAAGGATAAAACAGAGCAAACTCTCCCAGAACAGGGCTGTTTTCTTCACTGACTGTACAAAAGTTCAGTGCTCAACTTGATGTCATTTCAACGTGAAGCAGAAGTAGTGTGACTGGGTTATTCCTCAGTTCCTTCTAAGACAGAGTAACAACAGCACTACTTAAAGGGGGGTGATGAAGATCAGGGAACAACTTTTACATACTTATGTTGAGTGCATAAAAGATAAATTATGTTGTTATAATCTTCTCCTGCCTCCTAAGAAAAACTCTCAGCTTTTCCTACGCAGAACTTTCTTCCCTTAAAGTGGAACAAATTCACAGAAAATCTGAACACCCTCTTTAGAGAACAGTTTCAAATTTGTTAGAAGTTTAAAGTAAGGCTAGTTCATAAACACTTTGTGGTAAACTGGATTCAGTATATATTAATGCAAAACGCAATGCATAAATTACATGCAAAGACAATAACAGCAACCCATTAAACATTTTTTTCTCAGGTTGCAATAAGGTTGGACCAGTATGTGCATAGCGGAAGAAATGAGCCCCAAACAGAGCAATTGCTACACACTCATAATAAGTAGGGAGAAATCTCCCATAAATTAAAAAAATAACAAACATATTAAAACCAACATATAAATTCCGGACTTAAATAGGCTTCAGTACGTTCTCTTAGCACTGATAATACTGCAATAAATTGCCATTCCCCATTATCTGTCCATCTTTACTTTTCATAATAACACACTACTACACTAATATACTAAAAGACCATCTATTTTAGATGTGTTTCTACCTGAATACTTCATTCCAGTATTCTTTCACGTAGGAAACCTGGTGAAAAGGAATATCAAGCTTCTGACAAACCCGGTAAGCATCTTCACAATCTCTGTCAATGGAGCAAGCTCCTTGTTCATCCAGAGGGTCCCAGTTCTTCATAAAGACTCCTGTCACCTGGTAGCCTACGAAATGAAGGTAAGAATGACTTACAAAGGGAAAATCCTACAGTCTCAACCCAAAAACTGTTTTTCAAGACTTGCAAGAGTAACTGCTGCTTTCAGAAGACGCGAGTAGTCCTGTACTGAACAAGCATTCCGTGAAGTTTTATGGTACAGTTCTTGTATGATTTTTTTTCCTCTATAGTTAACAGCTAACATAAAAACGAGCTCTTCTGGCAAACTAACAGGATGATATTTCATAGCTCCGAGTTCCTCCCATCTCCTCCTTTACCCCTCGCTGCCTGCCGCCCCCCGAGGCGCCCGGCTCTCCGAGGGGCCCTGCCCGAGGTGAGGCTCTTCCACCGGCCGGAGAAGACGGGTGGGGGGCGCTGGCTGCTCTCGAAAGCGCGGGGAGCGGCGGGGCAGGAGGGCCGAGAGGAGGCCCAGAGGGGACCGTGAGGTACCAGGCGGCCCCCGCAC